TAGGGCCAGAACGTGGGGTCGGAACCATGGTTGCTGGGGCTAGAACTGGGGTCGGAACCATGGCTCTTGGGGCTCAGGCTGCTAGCCTGGACTTGCGACTCCTTCTCTTAGGAGCCGTTTGGAGGCTCCGTGGACCTCCAAAAGCCAGACGAGTTCCAGAGATCGGCTCCTGGACAGGAGCAGGACTGGGGAAGAAGCAAGGGTTGACTCAAGACGGAACACACCGAGACGTATGGTGTCAGGCTGGGAATCACACACCGAGAGGAAGTTCAAAATCCAGCCAGGTAAGAATTTCATTAAGCCTGGTTTCTCCATAGCCATCTGGCGCGCCTCTGCCAGAGCAGCCTCTCGCTGCTGAACACCAGACGCTCCCCTCCATCTATCAGAGCAATAAGCCAAAGAAAAGGAAAAACTCAGTAATTCCTGCTCAAATGGATCTGCTGGGCCCATCCTTGGTTGGTTCGTTCTGTTACGGGTGAGCGAAGCAAGCAGGACCCAAATGCAGATAACACTGAAAATACCTTAATTTCAAGGATATGGATAACACGGACAAACAGACCACTCCCCGGTGAACACAGTCACAGACAAACGATGAACCAACATTGACAGACAGAAAAAACAGAACTTAAATACACACAGGACTAATCAAGGAAACAAGAGACAGGTGAGGAGGGAGGAGAAAACACAGGGGCACCAGGTGAACACAATCAAGAAAACAGGTAGGAGGGAACAGGTAGGAGGGAACACACACAGACAGGAAACCAAAGACAGATCTAAACAAGACAAAACACAACGCAGACAGAAAACCAAAGACAGATCAAGACAAGACAAAACACAACACAGACAGATCGTGACAATTACATGCTTACTAAATGTTATAATGTGATCCATAATGCTGTTATTATGTATTTCATCTGGTTGAAATACATAATAACAGAAATGGGGAAAACGCTATATCTAAAAGTAGAAATTCAGGCAGGAATCAAATGCTAAATGCCCAGCAATCAATTCGAATGCCCAGCAATCAAGTTGAAAATGTACTTGCACGATTAAAAGATGATCAAAACAGTTGCGTAATCGATAATGAGTAAACCCTGCTGTTGGTTGCGTAGAACAGTCTAGTTTAAGAGTTTTTACAATGGCTTGCAGGTTAAAAAAAACATCTAGCCATCTGTTACATCTTGTAGTTATTGATCAGAATCTTTTTTTAAGGCAATAGAATAATACATTTTCAACATATTACAAGTACTACAATACATACTTGACATATTTCTTGACAACATTTGTTAATAAGTGTGTTTGCGTCGTATTTTAGATGCAAATGTGGCACTGGTGATTGGTTTAACTTATAATCAGGATTTGTCTACATAAAGCCAGAATATGACTTCTAAAGCATGTAGTGGATACCTACATTCTAATGAAACACTTAATGCTCCTTTGTCCAGACTTCAACATGACTTGAGTTAGTCACAGTTGTTGCATGAAAGAAGGTCAAGATTCAGCTGATGAGGCAGTATTACTACTTCTTAACTATCTTTGTTGCTGTTGCTTAGGTGGAGGACTGGAAATCCAAGAATCAGATCCTGAGGAACCTCCTACGACAGCACGGCATTGTGGGATCATCCAGCACAGACCCCCAGTGAGAACCCTGATGCCCCGGGGTATTTGAAGACAACCGCGTATGGGCCAAAAGAGTACTTGAAATGCTTTGAGATACTTTATTTGTGATCGAGAGTGCATGAAAACAATTGAATATGGTCATTGGTATTCAAATCCAGCATCACTGCATCATGAAATCTTTGAATATTATCTTAAATGCTTTTTACAACATTGAAATGTAAAGAATGTAATTGAAAGTCATCAGTCAAACAAAGCCCTTGTAGAATGCCTTCCTCCACAAACATTATGATTAACCTCCAGTACAGTAAGCTCCAAAACATGACCAGCTACTCATGTCACTTTTTTTTTAACTTCTGCAGTACCGTGCTTCTCTGCATCAAATGCACTCATGTTAATGTATCATTGTATCCATGCTTTGACTTGTTTTGATCTAATCAATATCACTAAGACCAGATGATACCAACTTCATAGTTCAGCTCTTTGCTTTGTATTTTTGTACGTTTCATAAAACCTTACTGGGGACAATAATTTAATTGCTACCATTTAACCTAATAAAGTAACAGAGGTTGGTTAGCTTTTCATTGTAGGTAGGCTATGTATGTCTTTATAATAAAAGGAAAAAGCAAATAATATACTGTACGTACATAAGCCACTGTTTATTAAAGGCGGTAAATTGGTTAAAATATGACAACCTGTTTTTATTTCCTTGTATCATTGTCATGACTTATTACACACGGCATCTATTGCACGTCTGTCCGTCCCGGGAGAGGGATCCCTCCTCTGTTGCTCTCCCTGAGATTTTTCCCTTTAAACTGTGGGTTTTCTCTGGAAGTTTTTCCTTGTACGATGTGAGGGTCTAAGGACAGAGGGTGTCGTATTGTCATACTGATATTCTGTAAAAACTGTGAAGTCCACTGAGACAAATGTAACATTTGTGATATTGGGCTATATAAATAAACATTGATTGATTGATTGATGACTTATTAGACCCTCCAGAAAAACGCGATTCTGCGATCGCAGAATTTACCGCATAATCAGCAAAATGGCGCAGATTTTTAAAAAGCCGCATATTTATCAAAAGGCCGCATAATCCCCGCATTTTTCCACACAAAGTTGAGAAGAAAAAAAAATTAACTCGTCTTGACGTGACGTCATCAGCTCGCGCATCACAGAATGTAAACAACACTGTATAGAGCTCATTTACCAACGAACATTTACACTAAAGACCGGTCAAAAAGTGGGGGGAAACTATTCTGCTCCCCGTGCAACTGTGTGTTGCAGCATAAGAGAAAATCGACGGTGGCGACCCACTTTGATTCATTC